TACGCTAGTTGGGGTTGTAGGGGTGGCCACGCTGCTACTCCTGCTACTGCTGTTACTGGTGCTACTGCTGCTACTACTGTTACTGATGCTACTGGCGGTGGCCAGATGCAGCTCCAACGACGTCCGCGCGAGTCTCACACGCCCCAGCAGCTTAGTGAGTGGTACGCTAGTTGGGGTTGTCGCGGTAGCCGTCGTAGCTGTCGCCCTGGAGCTGGTCAGTTGGGAGAGTCTGGCAGTGGCCAGCTGTAGCTGCAGCGGCGTCCACGTGAGACAATTACGTCTTGGCAGCTTCACGAGTGGTACGCTCAGAGTAGAGGGTCTCTGAGTACTGTTCGCTGCCCGTTCGTCATTCGCACTGGTGCTCGAACTAGTCAGGCTTGCAAGACGCTCAGTCACACACAGTCCCGCTGCTTCGCCCGTCTGAGCGACGCTTGGCGTACCGAGTTTGGCGATGAGGCTGAGCTCCCCAACTGGGTGGAGCTGCTTGGGGAGAGGGTAGATATCTTTGCTCTTGACTATGATGCTATTCTCACTGCCATGTATGCATTGTCTACTAGTGCTGACCGTGCCCCACCTCTGCGTACCGCTTGACCCAGGTATAGAGCCTTCTGCTCTAGGTGCTGGTGAGGCTGCTGCTCTAGGGGCTAGTGTGTCTCTTGCTCTAGGTACGGGTGAGGCTGCTGCTCCAGGTGCTGGTGAGTGTGGACGTGTGGGGCCCAGCCCGCGTCCGTGGACAGGGCCACGAGCGGTACTTCCTGCTGGTCGTCGACGACTACACGTGCTACACCACGGTCTTCCCCTTGCGCACCAAGGGTCAGGTCCCTGATGTTTTGATCCCGTGGATCCACGCTGCTCGTCTCCAGCTCCGCGAGCGGTTTGGGACGGAGTTTCCCGTCCTGCGTCTGCACTCTGACAGAGGTGGTGAGTTTTCTTCCGACCTCTCAGCAGCCTTCTGTGAGGAGCACGGCATCACCCAATCGTTCACGCTTCCGGCCTCTCCACAGCGGAATGGGGTTGCTGAGCACCACATTGGCTTAGTCATGGAGGTCGCTCGTACCTCCATGATCCATGCGGCTGCCCCCAATTTTATGTGGCGGTTTGCGGTCCGGTACGCTGCGCATGAGCTCAAATTCTGGCCCCGTGTCTCCTTGCCGGAGACCTCGCCCACATTGTTCTGGACGAGGAAGGTTGGCGATGCATCGCGTTTACGGGTCTGGGGTGCTCGTGCCTTTGTCCGCGATACCACCGCGGACAAGCTCTCCGCCCGCGGTGTTCCCTGTGTCTTCCTTGGCTTTGTCCCTGACGCGCCCGGTTGGCAGTTTTACCACCCCACCTCGCGCCGTGTCTTCCCCTCTCAGGACGTCACGTTCGACGAGTTGGTTCCCTTTTACCGTCTCTTCCCCTACCGCACTGCCCCTCTCCCCTCCCCGCCGCTCTTCCTCGCTCCAGGTGCTCCCCAGGTAGACCCCCTCCCCACTCCCGGTCCTGCTCCTTCAGATGTGTCTCAGGTAGACCTTCCTCCCTTGATTGTGCCGGTTGAGGTCACTGGTGACTCAGGTCCTGCTGAGGGTGGTCCTGCTCGGGGTGCTGTTTCTGGGAGTGCGGAGCATGGGGGTGCTAAGCCTGGGGGTGCGGAGCCTGGGGGTGCTGAGCCTGGAGGTGCGGAGCTTGGGGGTGCGGAGTCTGGAGCTGCTGAGGGTGCTGGAGCTGGAGGTTCTGGAGCTGCTGCAGGTGCTGGCGCTGGAGGTTCTGGAGCTGCTGTGGGTGCTGGCGGTGGAGGTTCTGGAGCTGCTGCGGGTGCTGGCCCTGGAGGTTCGAGACCTGCTACGGGTGCTGGCGCTGAGAGTTCTGAGCCTGCTGTTGCGCGGTCTCCCTTGAGTAGCCGCCTTCGTCCGCGTGTGCCTCTCACCTCACAGCAGCTGCACGACTGGTACGGTCGCCGTCAGGGTCGCGTCTCTGGAGCTCGGGGCTTTACCGCTGGAGGTGTTTCTGCTGTCGTCACTAGAGCTGGGAGTGGTGCTGGTCCCGGAGGTGCTCGTACTGGAGGTACTGGAGCTGCTGGGGCTGGAAGTGCTGCTGAGCAAGAGGGTGTTGCTGCTGGAGACCCTGGGTCTGGGGGTGCTGCTACTGGAGACACTGAGGCTGGAGACCCTAGGACTGGAGGTGCTGGTTTGTGCTTCGCCAGGTTCTTAGTCTCCCTTCGTCTACTGGTCTTCCGTTATAGCCTGGCTCACCGCTGCCTGCTCCTTCTCCTTACACTGAGCAAACAGGGGGTTTTACTGAGCGTCGTGAGCCTGCGTCGCGTCCTGTCTCGCCTGTCCGTTCTGGTCGCTCCGGTCGTCGTGTTCCTCATTCGCGTCAGCCGAGTGTCGCCGGCACCCACCTCGTAGTTCGTCGTCCTTAGTCTCCTCCGCAGCGTGTCCCCCTGCTGTCCCCTCCTGCGTTTTCTGTGCCTACCGTTCCTAAGCCTAAGTCTGACCGCACCCGTGCTACTCACTCTACTGTCACGCGTCTGCTAGCCATGGTTGTCAGTGACCCGTCGTTTGAGTCTGCTGCTGCGTCTGCCTTTGTTGCTGAGCTTGTTGACTTTGTTGCTGCCTGTCGTCTAGACTACCCAGCAAATCTTGTTGCTGAGTCTGAGTATATCAACCTCCGTCCGTCAGGGGTGAGTGTGCTCTTGGCACGGACGTCCTTCAGGACAGGCAGGAGGACCTTGAGTGTCTTGTAGCCCCTGCGCCTCACCTCGTGTCCATGCTGCTTGCCCCTGAGGGCGACCCGGATGCTCCAGACATCCCGACCCTGCGCTCTTACGTTGAGGCGATCGCGTGTGAGTACTCCTCTCAGTGGCAGACAGCCATGGACACAGAGATGACATCCTAGAAGTCCACAGGCACCTACGTCGATGAGGTTCCCCCTCCTAGGGCGCAAACATCGTCAGTGGCATGTGGATTTTCAGGGTGAAGCGGCTGCCAGGTTCTCCGCCTGTCTTCAAAGCGCGTTACGTGTCTCGAGGCTTCAATCAGCGAGAGGGAGTAGACTTCTTTCAGACCTTCTCCCCCACCCCAAAGATGACCACTCCTCGAGTGGTGCTGCACGTCGCCGCTCAGCGTGACTACGAGCTTCACTCTCTTGACTTCAGCACAGCTTTCTTACAGGGCAGCCTGCACGAGGAGATCTAGCTGCGCCACCCTCCTGGCTTTACTGGGTCGTTCCCTCCTGGTACCTAGTGGAGCCTCCGGCGGCCAGTCTACGGTCTCCGCCAGGCACCACGTGAGTGGCACGACACACTGAGGACTACACTTGCGGCTCTTGGGTTTGCTCCGTCGACTGCTGACCCGTCGCTGTTTCTGCGCACCGACACGTCGCTGCCGCCGTTCTACATCTTCGTGTACGTCAACGACTTGGTCTTTGCCACTGTTGACACTGAGGCTCTCGCCCACGTAAAGTCGGAGCTGCAGAAGAGACACACGTGCACAGACCTGGGTGAGCTGACAAGCTATCTTGGCTTGCGGATCACCCGGGACAGAGCACGCCGCACCATCACAATGACTCAGTCACACATGGTGCAGCAGGTCCTTCAGCGCTTCGGCTTCACCTGGTCCTCAGCACAACCGACTCCTCTGGCTACGGGTCACTCGCTCTTAGCTACACCTTCGGACGAGTCCGTAGAGCCGAGTGGTCCTTACCTAGAGCTAGTAGGCTGCCTCATGTACCTGATGACTTGCACTCGTCCTGACCTCGCGTACCCTCTTGGCCTTCTGGCTTGCTACGTGGCTCCTGGTTGGCACCGAAAGGTACACATGGATGCTGGTAAGAGGGTACTGTGCTACTTGTGCAGTACGTCAGGCATGGGGCTCGTGCTTAGAGGGAGGAGCTCAGTTTTTCTCACTGGGCACTTAGACGCTTCTTGTGTACGACCAGGCTACTCAGCGGTCGTCACAGGGTTACACCTTTAGCCTTGGCTTTGGTTCAGTTTCTTGGCGTTCTACTCGCTCGTCTTCAGTTCTCAGCTCCAGTTGTAAGGCTGAGATCTACACCACAGCCATGGCTGCACAGGAGCTACGCTGGCTGACCTACCTACTGACCGACTTGGGAGAGCGGCCTTGTTCTCCTCTAGTGCTGTACGTCAACAACAAAGCTGCCATTGCCTTGTGTGAGGAGCACAGACCGGAGCACAGAACGAAGCACATCGCTCTGCGTTACTTCCTGGCTCGAGAGCTGCAGCAGCGTGGTCAGCTTCGTCTGCATTACGTGGCCACTCAGGCCAACACCGCTGATATATTGACCAAGGCACTTCCGTCTGGTGATCATCAGCGTTTCTACACTTTGTTAGGCCTTGTGCCCACTTTTCCTCACTTGCTGTAGGCTTTGTTTGTACTGTGATCTATATATACATACCTGCTTGCTTGCTCTGCTAGGTAGAGATCACTGTGCTGTTGTTGTTGCATATATACCTCTGCATGTGAACTGGCCTTGTGGCCCTTTGCTTGTGCTTAGTGTGTGTGGTGACGTTGTGATCCACCCTGAGCTTGCTTTGCTTCTCTTGACTGGTCTTGTGACCCCTTGCTCCCCCCCACTTTGCCTTTGGGGGTGTGTCAAATGATATATATGCTACATATGCTTAGGCTGTAGTGGGGTAGCCAATATGGGGTACAGCCCCCATTAGGTTTTCATATTTGTACCTCATACTCTCATAGTTCAACCATTCCTGCTACTAGACTCTGACACCGCTGGCAACATTCCTCTGTGTTGGCAGCATCTAATGATGCTGCTAGCGTCGTTTTGCTGCCAGCAGTGCAGGGATGCTTCAAGAACGCTGCTTGCAGAACGTTGGCAGCGTGAGGGCTGTCCTCTACGAGGAGATGCCTCGTAGAGGAGCGGCTCAGCACCTGTGGATGGGGCACTTTGGCTGGGGGGGGGGTAGTCGGGCTCTCACTTCATTTGGTGCTCAAGGAGGTTGAATACTCGTCTCAACCTTGCTCTCGGCAGGCTCTCTAACCATGCGCAGCAAAGTACCAGTAGGCAAGTCCTCACCTCGTCCTCACGTGCAGGTGAATAACTACGGGCGAATTAACTCGCCCGTCGATGACATCCGTGTAGCCATGGCGAAGAATGCGAGCAAGGCGGGAAGTCCTACCGCCGCCTCCGGTGCGAGTTGTGACGGGGACAATGGAGACGAAGCGAACGCCGACGACGCCGAGGAGGATTGGCCAAAGAACGGCCACAACGACAGCGCTTCGGGCGACGAATTAGGTCCTGCCAACATCGAGGAGGACGTCTGGTGGAATCGGCCGGTCGGGAGCGACGACGAGGTGGAAGAGTGGCGGGCTGGTGATTCCGACAACGACGGAGGTGAAAATGCGCATGGTGACAACGCAGAGGCAGCGGCGGATGCACAGGAAGCGGCGGTGGATGCGAATGAGGAGGCTGACGACGAGGCGGGGGCGGAACTTGAGACAGTTGCGCCTGCGGATGTGGATGCTGTGGCGGAGTCGGACAAGGTTGCTGCGGATGCCATCTTATTTGACGAGGAAGGCGGCGACGACGACCCATGGAGCCTTGGGCCTGACGACGACGTTTTGCTACTGAAGCGGAGGCTGCCCCATTGCCTACAGTCCAAGTCGAAGCGGGCCCGCGTGGTGCTCTCTGATGACGACGGTCCAGGGGAGGAGCGTCGCCCGATACTCACCGCTGCGGAGAAGGGGAAAGCCAAGGTTGCGGAAGCCCCTGCTAAGGCCCCTACTAAGGCCCCTGCTCGTCGCCGCACAAGCAACAAGAAGCAGACATCCGATGGAGACCCGGTATCCAGCAAGGGTGCGGCTAAGAAGAAGGCGAAGAAGGCGCCGAATCCTGACGACATCGTCGTGAACGAGAAGCTGGGCAGCGACGATGAGTACGCGGCAGCGGGAGGCCCGATTCCCACGTTCCCTGAGAAGGTCACGCCGAAGGACCCCACCCTCCATAATCCCAACACCCGACCACCTTCCCCTCGCAGCAAAGACACTATGAAGAAGCGCCGAAGTTGGACCGTGCGTGAGAAGCTTAAGTGGGCGCGCCGCTATCAAGAGCTCGGCTCCTTGAAGAAGACGAGCGTGGAGTCAACCGCGTCTATCGCCTGCATCAGACGCTGGTGTGTGGAGGCGGAAGCGGGTGTCTACAAGGGCGCGGCTAGCTGCCGCAAGCGGATGCACACGGGGGGGGGGGCGCCACTCACACTACCCCGACATGGAGGCAACGTTGTACCACTACATCTGCCTTCAGCGCGCTAACGGGGTGGCCATCTCGGTGAAGGACACCCAGAAGTGGAGCCGCGAGTGGATGAAGAAGCATTACCCCGGCAAGAACTGGAACGCGAGCTCTCACTGGAGCCAGCGTTTCCGTGACCGCTGGAACCTGGTGATGCGGGTGAAGACCAAGGTCGGCCAACGTCTGTCGGCAGGTGCGTGTTGAAGGAATTCATGTCGCGCTATTGAATGCATGTACCTCACCGAGTGTCTAACCATCCCGTGCTTCTGTTGCGCTTGTCCCGTTTGCAGAGTGCGCGAAGGACTGCAAGTCCTTCTGGAAGTTCGTGCGCATCAACAGGGCACGGCACAACATCGACCTGGCCCGCATCATCAACGCGGACCAGACTCCACTATTCGTGGCGCGCGCTCGGTCCCAATCCGCACTGCAGGCTACCAGAAGACGCGCTTGACGGTGATGCTCGCGTGCACTACATCCGGGGAGAAGCTGCGGCCGTGGGTGTGGTTCAAGATGAAGAACATCCCCAACTGTGAGATTCCGGAAGGTAAGCGTAATGAATTCAACGCGGCGACTGCCTGATGAGCATGGCCCACTGTGCTGATGCCCATCTGTCCCTTGTGTGCCTGGCAGGAATCGTGGTCCAAGCACAGGACAACAGGTGGATGGACGAGAGCATTGTGCAGACCTGGCTGTCCAAGGAGGTGCTGCCCCATCTGAACCCCCAGCGCGGCCTGAACGCAAGGCGGGCGATGCTGGTGTTGGACTCCTACCACGGTCACATCACCCAGACCATGCTTCAGTCGTACCGCACACAGAGCATCACCCCTGCAGTCATCCCCGCGGGTTGTACGAGCCAGATTCAACCCCTGGACATCTCCATCAACCGGTGCTTCAAGGCTGCTGTGCGAGTGCGCTACGCCAGGTGGTTCATGCGTGAAAGGATTAACCTGAAGACGAAGAAGGGAGAGTTGGTTCTTCATTTATGGTTTTATGCTTGTTCTGTTTCCTGTCCTTGTCTTAAAAATGCTCCTTCATATCCGTGTCTCTAACATCTCGCTGCCCCGCCCTCTGTCCCACCTGCAGGGAACCTACAAAGGCCTCCGCACCCTGTGGTGCTGCAGTGGATCGCGGAGGCTTGGGATCAAGTCCCCAAGCAGATCATCATCGACGCGTTCCGCCACTGTGGGATCTCAAGCAAGCTGGACGGAACGGAGAACCACCTGGTGATGTCTCACCTGCGCGCCAGGAGCACCACCGATGTCTCCGCGGACATGTCCCTCGGGGGGACCACAGGCGACACACGCTTGTCTGGTTTCGCTGCAACACTTGTATTTTTTGCCGAGTCAACAAGCTTCCCAGGGAGAACGTGTGTTTGGGGACCTCGAGTCCTAAATTTCCGAGTCGAGAAAGTTGAAGTTCTTGCACTGAGTGCGGCTTCAACCAAACAGGTTCCATCGCCTCTACAGTAACGGGTAGGTTGCAAGCAGACACGGAGTGACGCGTTGTCGGTTGTCTGTACCCAAGTGTGCTCGCATCATAGTCAGGGCTCTCAATTGGTTTTGGGCCACCCTTGATAAGTAACGATGAATGAATGCATTGAGCAGAATGAGAAGTACAAGTAGTAAACCCTAAAATGTTGTACCCCATATGAACTGCCCCACTACAGCCTACACAAACTATAGCATATATGCCTGACACATCCCCATAGGCAAAGTGGGGGAGAACAAGAGGTCACAAGACCAGACAAACAAAGCAAGGCAAGCTCAAGGTGGATCACAACGTCACCACACAGTCCGAGCACAAGAGCAAGGCCACAAGGCCAGTTCACATCGAGATCATATATATAAAAGTAAAAAAGCAAGTGCAGGTATAGAAAAAGGACAGCACAAACAAGGCCAAGGAGTGAGCAAGTGAGGCCAAGTAGGCACAAGACCTAGCACAGTACAGAAGCGCTAATGATCACAAGGCGGAAGGGCCTTGGTGAAGATATCAGCAGTGTTGGCCTCAGAGGCCACGTAGGTGAGGCGGAGCTGACCACGCTGCTGCAGCTCACGAGCCAGGAAGTAGCGGAGAGCAATGTGCTTCGTTCTGTGCTCCAGTCGATGCTCCCGACACAAGGCCAACATGACATTGTTGTCTACGTACAGAACTAGAGGAGAACGAGGCGGCTCTCCTAGGTCAGTCAGCAGGTAGGTGAGCCAGCGTAGCTCCTGTGCAGCCATGGCCCCTGCGTAGATCTTAGCCTCACAGCTAGAGCCGAGAACAGAAGACGAGCGGGTAGACCGCCACGAAACAGAGCCGGAGCCAAGGCTGAAGGTGTAACCCTGTGACGACCGCTGTGTCGGCTGGTCGTCAGCCCAAGAAGCGTCTGCGTGACCTGTGAGGACCACTCAACATCGCCCTCCAAGCACTAGCCCCATGCCCGACGTACTGCACACGTAGCGCAACACCCTCTTTGCTGCAGCCATGTGCTCCGGTCTGTGTCTCCCAGGAGCACATAGCGTGCCAAGATGCTAAGAGGGTATGCAAGGTCAGGTCATGTGCAGGTCATTAGGTACATGAGGCAGCTAACAAGCTATGGGTACGGGCCACTCGGCTCTACAGACTCATCCGAAGGCAGAGCTGAGAGCGAGTGGCGAGTAGACAGAGGAGTGGCCTGAGGCGAGGAGGACGTGAAGCCGAAGCGGTGAAGGACCTGCTGCACCATGTGTGACTGAGTCAGGGTAATGGTGCGCTGCGCTCTGTCCCGGGTGATGTGCAAGCCAAGGTAGCTGCACAGTTCACCCAGGTCTGTGCACGTGTGTCTCTTCTGCAGCTCGGACTTCACGTGGGCGAGTCCAGCAGTGTCAGCAGTGGCAAAGACCAAGTCGTCGACGTACACGAGGATGTAGAGCGACGGCAAAGAGATGTTGGTGCGCAGAAACAGCGACGGGTCGGCTGTAGAAGGAGCAAACCCAAGAGCCGCAAGTGTAGTCCTCAGTGTGCTGTGCCACTCACGGGGCGCCTGGCGGAGACCGTAGACTGGCCGCCGGAGGCTCCACTGGGTACCAGGAGGAAACGACCCTGTGAAGCCAGGTAGGCGGCGCAGCCAGATCTCCTCGTGCAGGCTCCCCTGCAGGAAAGATGTGCTGAAGTGAAGAGAGTGGAGCTCGTAGTCGCGCTGAGCGGCTATGTGCAGCAGCACCCGAAGAGAGGTCATCTTCAGGGTGGGAGAGAAGGTCTGAAAGTAGTCAACTCCCTACCGCTGACTGAAGCCTCTGTCAAAATATGTTGACATATTATATATAATCGTTTGCAGTTGTAGTGTAGAACCTTGTCGACGTAGGTGCCTGTGGATTTCCAGGAAGCCATCTCTGCGTCCATGGCTGACTGTCACTGAGAGGAGTAAGGACCCTCGATCACCTCAGCGTACGATAGAGGAGTCGGGATGTCTGGTGCATTCGGGTCTCCGTCAGGGACAATCAGCGTGGACACGAAATGAGGCAAAGCAGCAGCAAAACCTTGGAACTCCTCGTGCCTGTCCTCAAGGACGTCCGTGCTAAGAGCACACCCACCCCCGACGGACGGAGGACAGACATACTCAGACTCAGCAACAAGACTAGTGGCGTAGTCTCGACGACAGCGAGCAGCGAAGTCGACATGCTCTGCCACTAAGGCACACGCATCAGTGGACTCAAGGGAAGGGTAAGTGACAACAGTGGCAAGGAGACGCGTGACAGTAGGATTGCCAGCACGAAGAGAGTCAGACTCAGGGTCAGGAAGGACTAGAAGAGAGGACTCTGGAGGAGACGGCAACGGGACACGAAGGGGAGTAGTGGAAGGACGCAGTGCCATCTAGTGGGTGCTCGAAACCGCAGGAGGAAGCGGACGCGGAACACGACGACTGGTGCGAGCAGTGCAAACACGCGACGCAGGACGAGACGCTCGCTCACGACGCTCAGCAAGACCTCCAGTAGGACCAATGTAGGGCGAAGGAGCAGGTGGAGGGGAGGCGGGCTGTAACTGTGACTGCGAATGGACAGGCTGTGGACACTCTAAGGGAGGAGCAGGACCAGTAGAAGGCGGGAGACCAAGAACCTGCTCAAGGAGCTGAATGAAGTACAGCCGCGGCCGCGCAACGCCTCCAGAACTAGTAGGCACAGCACCAGTACCCCCAACGGCAGCACCAGCGCCAGCAGCACCTCCAGCTCCAACAGCGCCAACTCCAGCACCCTCAAACGCACCAGCACAAGCAGAAACACCAGTGCCAACACCCCAGCAGCTCCAGCTCCAGCAGCTCCAGCAGCACCATCTCCAGCAGGACTGGCAGCTCCAGTTCCGCCAGCAGCTCTAGCAGGACCAACTCCAGCAGCCCGAGCAGCACCCCCAGACCCAGCAGCTCCAGCACCGCCAGTACGAGCACCTCCGAGACCAGTAGCAACAGTAGTACCTCCAGCTCCAGCAGCACGGCTCCAGCGCCAGGCAAACCACTCGCGCAGCTCCTGCGGAGAGAGTGGCTCTCGCCTCGACGAAGCACCGCCGGCGGCCACACGTGCAGACCCAGCGCCCCCAGGCTCCGCACCCCGAGGCTCCGCACCCCCAGGGTCAGCACCTCCAGACTCAGCACCCCCAGACTCAGCACCCCCAGTCTCAGCACCCCCAGGCTCAGCACCCCCAGTCTCAGCACCCGCAGGCTCTGCACCTCTAGCAGCAGCAGAGTTATTAGCTACCTCGAAAGGCTCGATTGCGTCTACCAGGGAAACACCTGACGGGGCGGGACCCTGAGGGGTGAGGGGGTCTACCGGGGGAGGACTTGGTGCAAGGAATAGCGGCGGCTGGGGAAGGGGCGCGGCGCGGTAGGGGAAGAGATGGTAGTAAGGCATCGACTCGTCAAAGGTGACGTCCTGGGAGGACAGAACACGGCGCGAGGTGGGGTGGTAAAACTGCCAACCAGGCGCGTCAGGGGGGAAGCCAAGGAAGACGTAGGGAACAGCACCGGGGGACAACTTGTCCGCAGACAAGACGCGGACAAACGCCCGAGATCCCCAGACCCGAAAAGCAGACGCATCGCCAACCTTCCCCGTCCACTGCAAGGTGGGGGAGGTCTCTAGCAAGGAGACTCGGGGCTGAAGGTTGAGCTGATGCGCCGCATACTGAACCGCAAACGGCCACAGAAAATGGGGGGCAGCCGCATGGATCATGGACGTACGAGCGACGTCCATGACCATGCCAATGCAGCGCTCAGCAATCCCATTTTGCTGTGGAGAGGCCGGAAGCGTGAAGGTCTGGCGGATGCCCTGTGCACAACAGAAGGCTCTCAGACAGGCAGAGGAAAACTCCCCGCCTCGGTCAGAGTGCAGACGCAGAATAGGAAAGCCGGAGCTGAAACTCTCTCTGAGCTGGAGACGAGCTGCGCGGATCCAGTCGATGAACACCTCAGTGACATCGCCCTTGCTGCGCAAGGGGAAGACCGTGGTGTAATGCGAGTAGTCGTCAACCACCAACAGGAAGTAACGCTCGTGCCCCTGGCCACGGACGCGGGCGGGGCCCCACACGTCCATGTGAAGAGTCTGCAACAGAGCCTCTGTCGGAGGAAACTCGGAGTAGTGAGGGGCGGCGCGCTGTCGCCCCTCGACGCAAGGGACGCAGGTAGGGGCAGGCCCTGGAGGTAGAGGAGGGAGAGGCTGGGGGAGACCAGAGACAAGGACACGGGAGGCCATGCCTCAGAGACGAGGCAGAGAGGGGTGACCAAGGCGGTGGTGTCAAAGGATCGTCTGGTGAGACAGGAGACGACACGAGGAGGGAGTAGACTCAGGACTAGACCTGGACGCTGCAGCAAACACCTGACTCGACGCAGCGACTTGACCAGGCTCAGCAGCCGGAGGAGACTCAGTAGTGAGGGTGTACAGGCTCGACCCCGACCGACGGGTGAACGTGGCCAAGTGTCGGCCTGTCCGAGCATACGTGTAGTGGGTCACCCGTCGACTGGCAGAGTGAACTGGTCAACCCCCTTATCCTGTAGATCAGCGCCACTCACCAAGTTCGTAGAGAACGAGGGGAGGTAGAGTCCTGACAGGGTGCCAGAGGGGGGTGCCAAACACGGTAAGACAGTGGAGAAGCGAGCAAGGACAGGACCCCAAGAGGGGTCAGCCAGGGAGACCGCAACTCGCTGACTAAGCGGCGTAAGTGTGGTGCGGTCCCGAAAGAAGGAGCGGGAAGCACCCGAGTCAAGGGTGAAGGTGTGTAAGGCGTGAGCTGACGTGGTACCTGAGAGGGCAGACTCACCAGCACCTGGCGCAGCAGACGCGCTAGCACCTAGAGCAGCAGCCTCACCAACACCTAGAGCAGCTGCCTCAATGCCCGGGTCAGGCGGAACACACAGGTAGCAGTTGTTGGGTGCAAATTCACATTGCACGACATCTTGCCGTCTGTTTGTACGAGTATGCGTGTGCGAATGCATTTGCGTGTGACTGGTATGTTCGTGTGTTTGTTTGCTTTCGCAAATTTTGCTTGAAGCATTTGCAGGTACTCGCACAATGTGCGCTTCGGCATAACATTGTACGCGCTATGAACAGTACAAGCAGAAAGGACGAGCTCGCAAAGGAACCCAAGATGGAAGCTTTGTGGTTCGGCTTACTTGATTGCGCAGATTCAGTTCTATCCAACTCGAAATTGTACTGTTTTGTTTGGTTGACTATAGTGTAGCAGGGCAGGCACTATAGGGGTACAATTTAGGTGAAGGTTGGATGTTGTTTGTCTGTATCTGCATGCTACAGGGCCAGGGGAAACCAGCAGAACCAGCATTTGGCTGGTTGGGCAAAGACAAAAACAGGTTCTGTTTTTAGGACCTGAACCTGGTTGTTGTTTTCCCAGGTTGGAAAAACAGAACCAGAGGTTGTTCACCAACCTACCACCTGCTTTTTTGTCCAGCCAGGTTGGTTCTGTTGCTTGGAATTATTTGGGATCATCCCTGGTTGTTCCCAGGTTGATTCCCAAGGTCCTTGCTAGCTAGAGCTATTTATTCCTTCTCTGTTTGTACCTGAATATAGTGAAATTGATTCAAGCGAATTCCTTCCTTGCTGGAATTTCCTTTCTACGCGGTGCGACGGCGGAATGCTACCCGAGTCAACGCTAGTACGCTAGCACTCCAACGCTAGGCTAACGCTGTCCGAGCCATAACTTCGTAATGGCAGAACTTTTCGCGAGGCAACTTGGCTTATTTTAAAGCTCTTAGAGTGAGCTTCGATATAGAAAATTCTCAGTTTAATCCGATCGACGGTCTGCACGATACGCTGCGCGACGTTCAAGGTACTCTTGCTGTTTGGACTAAGTCCCTCTTGATCCCTCTCTCTACAAACTCGGACCCGAGGATAGGGGCTGGTCTTGTACCAGGCACCCAAGGACCCTTGGAGGTGACCCCGAGGAGAGGTTTATGTTTGATAAAGTCTTAATAGCTTGAGTTTATTAGGCCCTTACACCAACAGCAGTCACCCTCAACACTATCAGCAACAGCATACATGGCAGCGAGAAAAGCATCAAAATCAAGATCAAAGATAGCAACCCCCGCCCTAGACAGCTCTCCCCAGCGAGGGATCTCAGAGGCCTCAGGGAATTGGTGACACCACGCGTCCGTCAGGCGGCCGAAGCAGCGCTGGGTGGAGTGCGGGCCCCCGTACTGCTCACCAGCGCGTTCGCCGGTGCGGAGAACGTAGGTGCAGGGACCCGTATTCCCACCGCGCTGACGCACAGCGTACCACTCACGAAGCTACTAAGGGGACAGGGTCTCACGACTGTGCTGCTGCTCATGGTGCGTACCACCACCGGAGCCTCTGCTCTGCTCAGAGCTGCGACGAGGTCCACTGCTGCCACCGCCGCCTCCGCCACCTCCGGTGCCTCCGCCGCCTCCACCACCTCCGCCGCCTCCGCTCCCTCCGCCACCGCCGCCGCCTCCTCCGCCTCCACTGCTGCCACCGACACCTCCACCCCCGCCACCACTCCCACCACCACCCCCACCCCCTCCATTGCCTCCACCACCACTTCAACTGCCCCCGCTAGCCCCTCCAGCGCCCTAGCCCCCCTTGCCCTTGCCGGTGCGGCGTCTCCCGCTTGGGGCAGACGCAGCGCCGACCGACTCGAAACCAACGAGGTCGGCCGCAGCTGCAGAGGCAACAGAGGGCAAGAGGGGGGAGGGGGAACACCCCTCAAAGACGGGGGTGCGAGGGTCACCACAAGAGGCTCCTACAATGACTAAGCTCTTCTCTGCTGCTAGGAGGCCCTTCTCGAGGAGGTCAACGGTGAGAGTGGTGGGGCAAACTGAGAGGAAGTGGTCCCTAACTACGCGGAGAGAGTCAGGGAGCCGGGTGACTATGTAGTAGAGGGTGATGTACATGGGGGGGGGGGGGTTCTTGGCGCAGAAATCAGCAGGATGCGCTGCGCGGTAGCGAGCGTCACTAGTGCGGAGGTGCGTAATGAGGTCAGCGACTGTGGGAAAGGCAGCAAGGTCAGGGAAGAGGTATGGTAGCATGAGGCGGCTCAGTGCAGCAGTGGCAGGGGAAGAGTAGCGTGCAACTACAGCGTCGTACAAGGTCTGAGCACTCTTGTACTGGCTAAAGTGTGCACGCTCAGTGGTCAGTAAGTGGCGACGCACAGCAAGGCGAGCAACAGCATCGCGTGTGGCCCACTGTGAGCAAACAGTGCTGTCAGCAGTAGCAGGCGGGGCAGGAGAGGCACCAGAGGTGAGATCGAACAGAGAGAGTCCGTCTGCCCTATCGCACTGGAGAAACAGTTGGAGGTCATCGACCCATACCTTTAAGTCAACGGCACGGCCCTCAGCATCAAAAGTAAGGACACTGGGGGTAGCCATGACTGCATTGGCCTAGTAGGGAGTGAGCTCACCAGTCCGAGGAAGGAGGGATGGGGCGCACCGGTAGGAACAGCAGCGGCTCGATAGTAGGGCGGCTCGGCGGCAGGGCGGCTCGGCTGCTGGGCGGCTCGGCTGTTGGGCGGCTCGGCTGCTGGGCGGCTCGGCTGCTGGGCGGCTCGGCTGCTCGGCATGTGGGTAGCTCGGCTGCTGGGCTACTTGGCGGCTCGGTCGCTGGGCGGCTGAGCGGTGACTAGGCCGCTAGGGGAGGGCGACGGGGCTGCAAGTGGCGGCGACGGGGCCGCAGGTGGTGGCGACGGGGCCGCAGGTGCCGGCTGCGTGGCCATAGGTGGCGGCGAAGGGGCCGAAGGGGGCGGCGACGGGGCCGCAGGTGGCGGCGACGGGGCCGCAGCTGGCGGCGATTGGGTCTCAGAGGGGCCGTAGAGGGGTGGGAAGGGGCCTAGACGGGGCCGCAGAGGGGGGCCACAAGGGGCCTAGACGGGGCCGAAGAGGGGCCGCAACGGGCCTAAACAGGGCAGCGGCGGGGCCGTAAGGGGCCGGAAAGGGCGCCGCGAGGGGCCGAAAAGAGGTCGCGCGAGGGCCGTAAGGGCGGCGTGAGGGGCCGGAAGGGGCCGTAAGGGCAACGCGAGGGGCCGTAAGGGCGGCGCGAGGGGCTGTAGAGGGCGGCGCTAGGGGCCGTAAGGGCGGCGTAAGGGGCCGTGAGAGGGGCCACTAAGGGCGGCGCGAAGGTAGGGAGGGCACACAGAGCGCGACTCGGGCAGGAATGAAGTGCGCTCCGGGCAGGAAAAAAAAAATATCGTGGTGGGCCCTAGGTAGCGTTCCCACTAGGGAACTTGCTCGATACCAAGATAAGAAACGAGGAATGAATGCATTGAGCAGATTGAGGAGTACAAGTAGTAAACCCTAAAGTGTTGTACCCCATATGAACTGCCCCACTACAGCCTACACAGACTATAGCATATATGCCTGACAACCCTTTCTAATCAGGGTTCTAGGTAGTCCCAATCCTGACTCATAGGTTAAAAAATTTCGTTCCCTGACAAATACAGGGTAAAAAAACTAATAGTCTATTTGGGCAGGGTAACTCTTTTGGTGTACGTTTTTTCATATATGTATAAAGCAAAAAGGTTACTTTGGTCAGCACTTAGTGGCTCAGTTGGTACGATTACGACTTAGAAAAATCTTACACTCTTTGGCTTAGGGTAAAAATCCCACTACCCTTACAGGGAAAGGGTAATTGAAAAAAAGCGACCGCGAGTCAGGGCAATCAGGGTGTTTTACCATGATAACGAGAGCCCTGGTCATAGTGCATCATTACGAAATTGGGTGTGTTGTTACGAAATTTATAGAAAACTTCTTCTCAATAAGTAGAGTTTCCAACAGGGGGAGGGGGGGGGGGGGGGGGGGGGGGGGGTTCCCTGTGTTGGAAACAAGTAACTTAAGCGCCTCTGTCGTGTCGAAGCACTAAGTTATATGCGAAGCAAAACACAGCGAAGCATTAGCGAGTCAACCCTCCGAGGTTGAACAACTGCTGGAGGTTACGCGAAAGTCAAAGGTCAGCGACCTTTCAACTGACAAGTACAGCGCGACAGCAAGGACAAACAACTGACTCGTTTTTGAGCAGTTGCTCGAGTCGTCACTGTATCGAACCGCAACAGCAACAGCAAAATAGTTATTAGCCATAACCCTTCATATTCCCTTGTACTCTTATAAAAGCTTGTATCTCTTTGTTTTAATCAATCTACTTTGCCCTCACATACCAGCGCAAGGTGGTCCACAAACTTGTCATTAAACGCTTCCGCTATTACATTGTCCTACTCAGAATTTAGTCCTGCAAAGATCCTAAGAGCTTTTCTCAGCCCAACATGGTATGAGAGCTATCAAGACAAATTCAACTACAATCAAGACTTCTACAACATCGCAAGGCATGGCATCGCAGAAGGAGAGAAGCTCCTCTAACGGCTCTCCTGGTACTACTCCTACTCCACCTCCTGCATCTGGCCTACAGATAGAGGAGGGCACAGCAACAAGACCGGGAGCTGGGTCTACCGAAACTCCCGCAAATCAAGCCGCGGGCTTCGACCCAGACATGATGGAGAAATTCTTTTCCTTCATGTCCTTCTACGAACAACACCCCAGCAAGGGGCACATGCGCTGTCAAACAACAGCAACAACAACAACGTGACACCGATGAGCCTCGACAGTTCATCCTACGCAAGAGGAAATCAGCAACAACAACCTACCTTCGCCCCATACGAACCTCAGCGCCGTCCCGTCAGCTTCATGCCGCACCAGCAGCCTTCACATGAGCAAGAAAAAACATTGGATGCACTTCAAGTCCAGTCGCAGTTTGCGCACGTCTTAAAACTGCAGACGTCAAGACCGTTCAATGGTAAAGACTTCTTTACCTGGTCATTCGAATTCGAGCTGATGATGGAAGGCGAGCAGATTCTTGGCTTCTTCGACGGGTCCCTGCCATGTCCAACGCACGGGACGCAATACGACAAGCAGCAGTATACATATCAGTCCATGATGGCGTATACCATCCTACTGCGCAACGTCACACCGAACCAGCAGCAGAACCTTCGGTCTTACCGAGGATACGGGAACTCCGCCGAGCTCGCGTATGTGAAGAAATGAGGAATGAAGAATGGAGGGTTGCACTAGCAGCAGTTGGCATACATATAGGAAACCCTAATTGGGTTGTACTCGCTATAGAGTACCCCACTGCAGGCTAGACAATTATAACATTCTGGCACACCCCCATAGCCAAAGTGGGGTGTAATCAGCACAATGAGCAAGCAGGCATAGAGCAGGAGATCACAATAGCGAGCAAAGCTAGAGTTAATCACAGAGGGCAAGTGAGGAGGAGGAGGAACTGTGGAGGGAGAGAAGATGGGAGGGTACGACTGAAGCTGCAGAGGCACGGGCACAGGAGCGGCTGTCTCAGTGGCTACCGAAGCAAGGGCGACGGACTACTGGAGTAACTGGCTCCGCGGCTATAGACGAGCGGCAGGAGCAACGGACCCACTGGCGACTGGTGCAACAGGCTCACTTGCTACCGAAGCAAGGGCGACGGACTACAGGCGCTGTAGACGACACGGCAGCTACCTTCACACAACCTCCTCCAGCTGCCCCACACTCCTCGACACACACCCCCTACTCAAACCCTAGTTCCACTCCCACAGCACCCCCCTTTCACACACCCCTTGCTGCACCCTAGGTTCACTCACACCCCACCCCCTAGCACCACTCCGTCGACTCCCACACACCCACCCCCCTCAGCGGCAGCTGCAGCAGTGGGAGACAGAGGAGGAGGAGCAGGGGAGACCACACACCCGCCACCCCCTACTCGCCACCCCCTACTCGCCACCCCCAGACCCTAACACAGGGCAGGGCGGGACGGCGGGTAGGGAGGTTACGGGGGTGGGGGGGGGGGGAGGGGGGCGACGCGCGGCCTCCCAGGGCGCCAAAACAGGCGGCAGAAGGGGCGACGTTTGCCCCTCCCCCCACGCGGCCCCCTCAGGTCGCCTCGACAGGCAATGGGAAAAGAGGGGGGGGCGGTGCACGTTCCCCCGGTGCGCCGCGACAGGTGATGGAGCATGGCCGGGGCAGGGTCGGGGCAGGGTTGAGGTAGGGCCAAAAGGGGCGGCGACGGGGCCGCAAGTGGCGGCGACGGGGCCGCTGGAGGCGGCGAAGGGGCCGATAGGGGCGGCGACGGGGTTGCTAGGGGCGGCGACGGGGCCGCTGGTGGCAGCGACGGGGCCGATAGGGGCGGCGACGGGGCCGGGAAGGGGCCGCGAGGGGCCTGGAAGGGCGGCGTCGGGCCGCTAGGGGCGGCGACGGGGCCGCGAGGGGCCTAAAAGGTCGGCGATGAGGCCGCTAGGGGCGGCGACGGGGCCGCGAAGGGGCCTCGAGGGGCCGAGAAGGGCGGCGACGGGGCCGCTAGGGGTGGCGATGGGGCCGCTAAGGGTCGCGCGAGGGGCCGTGAGAGAGGCCTCTAGGAGGGGAAGAAAAAAGTCAGTCGCACGCCACGGGGCGTGCAACACACAGAGCAGCAGCGGAAGCAGTTAGGTGGGCCCACGGGCCAGGAGCATAGATGCTCTGGTACCATGTGAAGAAATGAGGAATGAAGAATGGAGGGTTGCACTAGCAGCAGTTGGCATACATATAGGAAACCCTAATTGGGTTGTACTCGCTATAGAGTACCCCACTGCAGGCTAGACAATTATAACATTCTGACAGCGTACAACCACCTGAAGAACATGTACCAGGCAACAAACAGCGTCAATCAGAGTCGGTTAATGGCACAACTGACAACAGTGGAAATGAAACCGGGCGAAAAAGGGATGGCGTATATCAGCCGCTGTCGCGAATTGCACGACAAACACCTTCGATGCGGAGGGTCGATATCATAAGACGCCTTCGTCACAGTCGTCATTGGCGGTCTTGGTCCTCATTGGCGCTCCATTCGCGCCATACTCCGAGCTCACGGAAAGATCTCCGAAGCAGCACTATGCGCCGAAATTCACGCCGAGCAGCAAGACATGGACCTGCAAGAGGAGCGACACAAGAGGAAAACGTTAGTACCTGAATTTGCGTTCCACACCCAACGGCGCTACAATAGCAACAACAACCGGCATCAATCAAGACCCGTACCTCCATTCTGTCATCTCTGCAAGACTTCAAGGCACCCTCGCACACACTGCCCGAATCGACAGCAGTCAACACTGCCGCAACGCCAGCTTCGTCCTTCAAGTAGTCAAGTGGCGTCCACACAAGCGCACCCCACGAGTCAACTGCAGTCCTCAACGACATCGTCAACACAATCTGCACAAGGAGCAAGAAATATCGTCAGTTGCATGGCAAGACTGACGGACTCCTGCATCACCGAGTCACCACCACACTACTCACCGGAAGAGCAACTCGACAACAGCACCCCTCGCCGCGAGTCACTTCAACCGAGCCTGACGTATGCTGCCATCGCTCAAAGCGAGCCGTCCGGAAAAGACACCTGGTTCTTGGACATTTGCTGCGGACAACATATGTGCTCTTCAGGTCGCTTCGTTCAACGCGAACACCAACTTCAACGCAAAGTCGTCATCACCGTCGCCAACAACCACAACCTGCGCACACAACGACAAGGCGTAGTGCAACTTCAGTTACGAGAGAC